ATGGCGTGGCTTTCCTTTCAAATTTCTCACGCTTTCAGCGCCACCATGGCGCTGTTAGCGTGAGACTCACTGTAACAATTTCCTCTCTGGCGCTACTAGCGTGGATATGGCGCTAGTAGCGCCAGTTCCCAGAATCTTCTTTTTTCTTTTTAACACTCTTCCTCACCATTATTTAATTTTTTTGTTTTTTTTTAACCTAAAAAATATTAAATATAAAATTAAAACAAAGAAAAGTAACTTTTCTACCGGGTTACCTCCCAGTGATCGCTTGTTTAATGTCACAAGCCTGACGTGAACAATTTAAGACTCAGGTGAAGCCAGAGGGACAAAAAATTTATCCCGATTCACCTGCCCTCCATAGTATAATTTCAGCCTACTGCCATTAACTTTGAAAGAATTATTAGTATCTATAGGAGAAATTTCTATTGAGCCATAAGGGTATACCTTTTTCACAACAAAGGGACCTGACCAACGAGATTTAAGTTTACCTGGAAACAATCTCAGTCGAGAATTGTACAATAATACCAGTTGTCCCGACTCAAATTCCTTTGGAGTTATCTTCTTGTCATGCCACCTCTTTGTCTTTTCCTTGTAGATCATGGCATTCTCATAAGCAACTAACCTAAACTTATCCAACTTATATAATTGCAGTAATCTTTTTTCATTAGCTTTAGTTGGTTAAAAGTTCAGAAATTTAGTTGCCCAAATAGTCTTATGTTCTAACTCAACAGAGAGATGACAGGACTTATCGTACACCAGTTGGAATGGTGACATACCTATGGGAGTCTTGAAGGTTGTTCTGTATGCCCAGAGTGCATCGTCAAGCCTCTTTGCCCAATCCTTTCTTGTGTGGCTCACAGTTTTCTCGAGGATTCGCTTCAACTCTCTGTTGGAAATCTCCACTTGTCCGCTTGTCTGAGGATGACACGATGTAGCCACTTTGTGTGTGACTTCATACTTCTTGAGAAGACCCTCAAATTGTTTGTTGCAGAAGTGGGTTCCTCCATCGCTGATGATGGCTCTTGGAACTCCGAATTAGGTTAAGATGTTTCTCTGTAGGATGGCCACGACTACCCGAGCATCGTTTGTCGATAAGGCCACTGCTTCCACCCACTTGGACACGTAGTCAACAGTAACCAAGATGTATTGGTTGGAATATGACACAGGAAAAGGTCCCATGAAGTTAATTCCCCATACATCAAAGATTTCCACTTCCAATATGCAATTCAGTGGCATCTCATCCTTTCGGGATATGTTTCCCGTCCTCTGGCATCTGTCACACTTCTCCACAAACTCGTTTGAGTCTTTGAAGATTGTGGGCCAATAAAATCCACTTTGTAGGACCTTCTGTGTGGTTCTATTTCCATCAAAGTGTCCTCCATAATCTGAAGCATTGCAATGCCACGGAATCTTTGGAATTTCCATCTCAGCTGCACACCTACGAATAATCCCATCAACACATTGGAAATATAAGTAAGGGTTATCCCAGTAATATCGATTTGCATCATGCATGAACTTCTTTTTCTGTTGCCATGTGAGTTCTTTAGGAATTGATCCTACAGCCTTGTAATTCGCGAATTCTGCGAACCATGGCACGAATCAGATTGCCATTACTTGTTCATTAGGGAAGGATTCTTTTATTTCAATCTCAGGTCCATCTTGCAGTTCTTTGGCTTGAATCCTTGACAAGTGATCGGCCACTTTGTTTTCAACTCCCTTCTTGTCTCTAATTTCCAGATCAAATTCTTGGAAAAGAAGTGTCCAACGTAACCATCGTGGCTTTGCATCCTGTTTACTCATGAGATACTTCAATGCAGAGTGGTCAGTAAAAATAATAACTTTAGATCTTATCAGGTAAGGTCTAAATTTATCTAATGCATATACTACAGCTAACATCTCTTTTTCAGTTGTGGCATAATTCACTTGTGCCTCATTTAGAACCTTGCTAGCATATTAAGTCATATGTAATAACTTATCCCTACGCTGAACGAGGACTACTCCTATTGCATACGCACTTGCATCACACATGAGTTCAAAGGGAAGGTTCCAATCGGGCGCCATCAGGACAGGCGCTGTTGTCAGCTTTTCCTTTAGAAGATTAAAGGACTTCAGGCATTCTTCATCAAATTTAAACTCAGAGTCCTTCACCAACAGTTGACTCAATGGCTTTGCAATCTTGGAGAAGTCCCTGATGAATCGTCTGTAAAACCCTGCATGTCCTAAGAAGCTTCGAACGCCATTCACATTAGCAGGAGGGGGAAGTTTTTCAATTAACAACAGTTTAGCTTTATCAACTTCTATCCCTTTTTCAGAAATTTTATGGCCTAATACTATCTCATCCTTTACCATAAAATGACACTTTTCCCAATTTAAAACCAAATTTGTTTCTTGACAACGCCTCAATACCTTAGCTAAATTAACTAAGCAAGAATCAAAGCAAGAACCAAATATAGAAAAGTCATCCATAAATACCTCCAATGATTTTTCAATTATATCAGAAAAATGGAAAGCATGCACCTTTGAAAAGTAGCAGGTGCGTTGCAAAGGCCGAATGGCATCTTTGAAAAATGGAAAGCATGCACCTTTTGTAGGCGAACACTCCAAAGGGACAAGTGAAAGTCGTCTTCTCTTGATCCTCTGGTGCAACAGGTATCTGGTTGTAGCCGGAGTAACCGTCTAGGAAACAGTAATATGCATGTCTGGACAACCGTTCCAGCATCTGATCAATGAAAGGGAGAAGAAAGTGATCTTTTCGTGTGGCATCATTTAGTCTTCTGTAATCCACACACATCCTCCACCCTGTTATGGTTCTGGTGGGGATCAATTCATTTCTCTCGTTCTTGATCACTGTAACTCCGCCTTTCTTTGGCACTGTTTGGACAAGACTTACCCATGCAGTGTCTGAGATTGGGTAGATCATGTCGGCATCAATGAGCTTTACCACTTCCTTCTGAACCACCTCTTTCATGGTAGGATTTAGTCTTCTCTAAGGTTGTCTCACAGGTTTGATGTCATCTTCCATTAGTATTTTGTGAGTGCAGAAGGAAGAATTGATTCCTTTTAGATCGGAGATGGACCATCCAATGGCTGTTTGATGGTCTTTGAGCACTTTCATCAACTTTGATTCTTCAGTCTCAGACAGCTCTTTGTTGATGATGACATGATATGTTTCTTCATCTCCTAAGAAAATGTATTTTAGATTGGATGGAAGCTCTTTTAGCTCCACCTTACGTGCTTCTTTTATTGTGTCTGACTCTTTCTTTTTCAACTCCTCTGTCGGAATTTTAGCATCGTCCTTTGAAGGGTTTTCATCAAAGAATTATTTCTCTTCTTCAAGAGTCTGATCATCTTCTTTTTCAAGGAGGAGTGCTTCAAGAATGTCTACCCGGAAACAGTCACCATTATCTCCTGCATGCTTCATAACTTTGAACAAATCGATGGTGACTTTCGTCGTCCATTCTCAATTCCATCTTTCCGTTTTCCACATCTATCAAAGCTTTTGTTGTAGCAAGGAATGGCCTACCCAATAAAAGAGGCATTTCTCCTCCTTCATCCATGTCGAGGACTACAAAGTCAGCAGGGAAGATGAACTTGTCCACTTTGACAAGTACGTCTTCAATTACTCTGTTCGGTCTTCTCAACGTTTTGTCAGCAAGTTGGAGCGATAATGTTGTCGGCTTTAACTCGGAGATTCTGAGAGTTTTCATCATAGACAGTGGCATAAGGTTGATGCTTGCTCCCAGATCACACAATGCCCGACCAACATCAATGTTTCCTATCGCAATCGAAATGTTGAAACTTCCTGGATCTTGAAGCTTTGGTGGAAACTTTTTCTGGATTATGGCATTACATTCTTCTGTGAGAGCAACTGTTTCACATTCCTGCAACTTATGCTTTCTAGACAAGAGTTCTTTCATAAACTTAGCATAGTTAGGCATGTTAGCTAAAGCTTCAGCAAAGGAAATATTAATTTGCAACTTTTTAAATATTTCTAAAAACCTGGCTTGTTGTTGCTTCTGTGCTTGCCTTGACTTTATGGGATAAGGTGGTTTCTCAAAGCGAGAGAAATCACATTGCTTCTTTGGTGTCTCTGCAGCTTTCTCCTTTGCTTCCTCTTTGTCTTCCTTGCAGGTGTTTCCTCCTCTTTTTCCATCACCGGTTCAAGAACTGGTTCGTCTGCTTTCTTTTGTTGAACCACCTTCGGTTTTTCTTGAGGAGTGATGACAATTCCGCTTCTTGTAACAATTGATTTACAATCTTCTCGCGGATTGATTATTGTGTTACTTGGAAACTGACCTTTAGTCCTTTCTTCAAGCTGTTTTGACAGTTGGCCTATCTGGTTTTCCAAGTTTCTCATAGATGCATCCTGATTTTTGTGATGAGCCCTTGTCTCATTCATGAATGTGTCAGTAGTTTTTGTCCATTGTACCAATGCTCTCTCCAGTTCAGATATTTGAGTTTGTGGGACTGGTGGAGGTTGCAAATAGTTGTTGGATTTGTAATCCAAACCTGTTCCTTGCACTCTCCTTTGGAAGTTGTTCCCTGGAGCATTGTTCTGGTTTCTTCCATAATTCAACTGTGGTTTTGGTTCGTACCATATTCCATTGACTTGTAAAGCATCTGATCCTACCAATGTTGGGCAAATGTTAGTATCATGCTTCTCTTGACAATACTCACAGTTGACTAAGTCAATTTGAGCTGTAGAGAGTTGCAACTTGTCTAACTTAGCATTCATAATTGCTATTTGTTTAGATAGGATCTTTTGTTCTGCAAGTGATGCATCATTGTTTCCCAACTGCAGGATTCCCTTTCTTGGTTGAATTGGTTGAACAGGTGGAACTGTCATTGATGCATTATCAGCTCTTGCCATGAAGTCAATCAGCTCTATAGTTTGAGCTGTTGTCTTCTTTTCTATGGTCCCTCCAGCTGTACCATTGGCCACCATTCTGGATTCTGGCATCATTCCATTATAGAAGACTCTGACCTTCTTTTTGTCCGGCAAGTCGTACTGGGGACACTTCCTGATCAATTCTTGGAACCTGGTCCAAGCTGCACATAAAGTTTCTCCCAAATGTTGAGTGAAGTTGGTGATCTCATTCACCAACTTGTTATATTTCTCTCTGGAGAAGTGCTATGCAAAGAATTTAGCAGCCAATTCATCCCACGCTGTGATGCTGTTGGGGGCTTGTCTATCCAACCATCTCAGAGTTTTCCCTGTTACAGCAAAATGGAATAGTCTGAGTCTAATTGCATCATCGGACACCACGTTATGCTTAGTTGTATCACAGATTCTCAGAAATCTGTCCATGAAATCATGGGGGTCTTCATAGTCTTCTCTGCCAAATGGATTTTTGTCAACCAAGTTTATCAGTGCTGGATGGATGTCAAAATTATTGGCGTTGACTGGTGGTCTGATGATGCTTGAATTTGGCCTTGTAAACATTGGAGCCAATATTGACTCCATCAATTCCTCCGGGAGATTGTTGATTATTAGCGGCCATCTCTGGTTTGGCTTTCGGCACTGAACTCGAGGATTCCTCTATCTTTGTTGCTTGGTCTGCTTTCGATTTCTCTTAGCAGTCTTCTCGATTTCTGGATCAAACTGTAAAAGTTCCTTGTTAGCTTTACCTCGAATAAAAAGAAAGAAATCTTTTAGTAACAAAAAGAAAAAGAAAAATTCTAATCTCAAAGATCGAAAGTTAAAACTAATATTGGCGTATTCAATCCCTGGCAGCGGCGCCAAAAACTTGTTTCGAATTCGGCAAGTATACCGATCGTTCCAAGTAATAAAGTGATAAGAAAAATATTGTTCCCACGAGGATTGAAGCACCAAGTACTAGTCTAACTATTCCCTTTAATTTGGAACAGAAAAGTTGTTTGTGTTGTGGAATAATTGAGTTTGGAAAATCAAAAAACAGAAATTAAGAACAAATAAATTTAAAAACAGAATTTAAAAACAATTAATTTTCCACGCATACAAGAAAAGATCAAGAACGCGAAGAGAAGATTGATAAAAAATTCGTAAGGAAGCTGTAGCCAGGATACACTTTACCTCTGATCCTCCCTTATATTCCTATATTGTATTTTATAAATAATTAATTCGTTTGTTCAGACAATTCATTATTTTCGTATAAAATAGTTGAACCCTAATGTTTTAGTGATTTCAACCCTTTAACCCAATTAGAACCCTAATGTCTTAGTGATCCTTCTTAAATTAAGCATTAAGCAAATGAATTATGAGTCTGAAATTTATGTAAGCCTATGTCTAGATCATACACAAATTGTTATTCTACCCATGTCCAGGTTAAAATCCCAATATGTCTATTGTGAATTCTAAGCCTCAAAGCCTTATAATTTAGAGTGGCCTATTCTAAATAGGATATGGAAAAATTAAACGAGGTAGAATAAAACAAACAAACTAATTAAATTATAAAATGTCAATACATAAAATATAAAAGGATTCACATCGGGTCCGTGATCCCAACTACATAAATAAACTAGCCAGACATATTCATGTTTGACTTAAACAAATTAAAAGAAAATTGGTCATAAACTATAAAGAAGAAAATAAGAAGAAGAATAAAAACTCAATGTCTTCAACCTTCAACTCTGGTGGAATCCTGATCTCCAGCGCGAGTCTCCAAGAATTCTCTCAATTCTATGGTCCTCACAATTCTCTCCAGCCAAAGATTGTTGTTTCTAGGAGTCTAAGCCTCTATTTATAGACTTCGTGTCTTGCTCAAATATCTTGATTAAATCTTCGTCGTAAATCTCAGTGTGATCTTTATCTGATTCAAAACAGGATTGACTGCTGACTTGTCCGCTTCTCCCACGCTACTAGCGTGGTTCCCACGCTACTAGCGTGGTTCCCATGCTGATAGCGTGGGAGTTTTGTTCACAATACTGGAGTTTCACGCAACTAGCGTGGTTGGCAGGAAAGTATGGCACTACTAGCGTGAGTTCCACGCTAGTAGCGTGGATGTCTTGGGATGATTTTGAATTCTGGCACTACTAGCATTGGTTCCACGCTAGTAGCGTGGATGTATCTGTATGAAAAGACTAATCCACGCTGTCAGCGCCACACCCACGCTATCAGCGTGGGCTTTCAGTTTTGTATTTTCTCATTGAGCTCTAGTTTGTCTGTTTTTCCTACGAAATCAGCATAAAATCAGTTGTACAATCTCTGATTGAGATTTTAACAAATCAACAGTAAATATTGCCTTTTTACTCAAGATTAACCAAGATTCTTTCTCTTTTTGGCTTGGATTTACCTATATGCTTGATGCATATCACCGGTGCTCCCCACGAAGACATACTCGGTCAAATGAAGTTCTTTTCGGAAAGCTCCTCAATATGCTTTTCAATTCCGCTAACTCAGGTGGAGACATCTGGTATGGAGGTAATGAAATTCGCCCCACATCAGGCAACAGATCAATGGAGAACTCTATCTCCTGCTGTGGCAGAAACTCAAGAATCTCCTCAGGAAACACCTAGAGGAATTCCCTCACCACAAGAATGCCGGAGATATCATCCTGTGTCCCACTCATCAAACCTCCCAATAAGACATAACCAAATGTTCCGGCTCTCAAGGCTCTCCTAGCCTGCAGCACTGAAGTATAAGGAGAAGAACTGGTTGTGGAATCACACGGAAACATCACCACTTTCTTAGCACAACAATCAATCATCACACAATTCTTGAACAATCAACCCATGCCAAGGATGATCTCCAAATTAGCCATCGGCAAACCAATCAGATCTACCGAGTACTAATTGTCATCCCATTGAAACATGACATCGCGATGTACAGAGATAGTATCACACTTTTCTCTGGTGGCGGTAGTAACCCGCAAAGGTGGAGAAAGCACATAAACGGGCAACTCAATCCCCACAGCAATCGGGGTCGCGATGAAAGAATACGTAGCCTCGGAATTAAACAATAAATCAACAGCAAAACCACCAACGGAAATAATACCTCTCACAAGGTTTGAAGCTCTGTCCGACTGCTGCCAATCCAAGGTATACACTCGGCCAGTGGATGGTGGCATGACAAGTGCCGCTGTAGGTGCGATGGGAATCATATGAAGAGGAACCACCTAAACCGCTGCAGCTCTAACAACTGACGAAGGACACTCTCTGGCACAGTGAAAGCAAATAACCTGACCAGTGGCACCCGACCCCACATGGAATTTCCCACACCGAGTACACCTAGGAGTAGCTCTAACTGCACTCCCCTGAGTTGAAGTCTTCTTGAACTGATTCATCGCCTTCCTAGCAGATAACTGCTTCCCTTTTCCTTTTCCTCCAAACTTCTTGTCTCTCCAAGAAGTGGAATTACCAGCTCCCTTCACATCAGATATCTTGGCCTTTTTGGCCTTGCTCACTATACATACGTCCTCAATATCGCGGCACTGCTGAACTAATATGCCAAAGTCTCGGGATGTCGCTCCCGCTATCCCTTCTGCTATGTCTTCATTAAGTCCCCTACGGAACTTAGAAGCCAAGAATGCCGGTGTAGGTATAGCAATCCTGAAGTGTACAAATTTTGTCAGTTCATTGAACTTAGCCAAGTACTCATCAACTGTCATCGATCCTTGCACCAACCGCTCGAAATTCCCCTGCTTTCTCTTCTACGCATCATATAGGAAATACCTCCCAAGAAACAACTCCTCAAAGAATGGCCACGTGATAACATGACTCTGTGTAACACCCCGTGTATATCCGGTAATGTTATCATACTATCGTATTAAGATGCGCTTAAATAAAAATTTGCGAAATATCTTTTTATTTTCCAATTATGACATCATTATACTTAACCAAGTTGATTACTTAATCAATTTCATAAAAGCAATGCCTGTATGTAAATTGCAAGACAACTAACTGAAATACCTCAATATAAAATATAAAGTGAGTATCTATGTCACGACATTACATCACGTAATCCGGACACTATCCTGATACATTAATACAACTCTAATTAAAACAAGACATAACAAGTCTACGTGGCATGGACAATCCCCATTCTCACCAAATCAACAGCATAAACGATGGAGTCTCAACAAGATAATCCAAAATCATAACATGAAGCTAAAAGCATAAAAGCAGCAAGCATATCCAACATCCAACATGTCAGCATATAATATCATCAATAACTAACTCAGCTCCGGCCTCCTGCCGCCTGGGGCCTCAACCCCAACATTACCTGATCCTGAAATAAGCATTCCCCAAACGTAGGGAGAGATCTCTAAACTAGAAATCTCAGTAAGACAAGGGGTCCTCAAGGATCTTCCACCCCAAGCTCACTTACATGTGCAATATAAGTTCTAAAAGCATTTATATCAATATAAGTTCCAAAACTATGCAGTGCAACAGATATTCATGCCATGTGTGTTTATCACTATTCTACTGGCCAGAGAAATGCAGGAATACGTCTCTACCTACATGTAGTACAAGGAACACCGCTTGCACCTCACCCACAGCCTCACCATATTGTATGTACTACATACTCAGGCTTACCGTATAGGTGGAACACCACATGGATATCATAAAGGCACTAGCATATAACAGCTCAATAGCATTTCTAAAACATCAAAAGCATGTAACACAGCATGCACATAACCATATCCCCAAGGGACATGGTGGAACCATAATATGGCTAAACCGAGGACACGAAAGCTTACCTTGCAAGCTCACTATCCAATGCCAAGAGTCCTCGCAGCTCAAGTCCAACATACAGCAAATCACAATCAGATTTAGGACCAGCAAGTATATCAACATACATAGCTCAAATCATTAACACAAAGGCTACGTTCTCCTTTTATGATTTACGTCTTAAGGCTTCCAACAAAGCCACAAGCCTTTAATCACATGATTCTGACTTAGTTCATTAAAACAGAAGTTCAACTATCCAGGGTCCACAAACCCCCAATAGCCTACTGTACACACAACACAGCTACTGTTATACGAAATCCCAGAATATCTGAATATTCCTTGGGGACATATCCCGATATCCAATATCCGGATATCTCTTTGGCAATATCCGGATATCAATATCCGGATATCCGGATATCCACATCCGAATTTTTCGCGACAGAATGCAGTTCCTGCATT